AACGTTAGTTGGTGCTCCAGTATAATCGGTACGCCTGAAACTCATCCAGTGAGAAATGTTCCGCGGTGCAAAAATAAGTGCGATTAAAATGCGTTAATTTTTTTAACGCGTTAATTTTTGTGTAATTAATTAATCTTAATTAACGCGTTAAAGTCCCGGCCCTAGTTTTTATGTTTCATGTGGAACTACTTGAGCAGGTCTCCCTTGAAAAAGAGATCAATGATCTCAATGGGATTTATCTGTCTAAATCAGGGGTGAGGAACCTTTTTCCTCTCAAGGGCCATTTCAATGTTTTCAACATCCTCCGAGGGCCGTACAAATGATTGACCTCTGCTTAAAAATACTAAAATCACAGCCCACTCATTTCACCTTTCTTTCATGCTGTGCAAAGAAAAAGCAACCTCTTAATCCAGATATCTTACCATGACTCGCAAGATGTGTGCAAATGTATTTAGTTTCCTATCCATGTGAACATGATTTAAGTGGGGGGGACCTAACCTCCTCTAGGGTCCGGGGGCATGCTCCCCCGGGAAGATTTGTTTTTAAATGTTGAAGTTAAAAGCATCAATCTGGTGCACTTTGAGAGCAACATTAGATCTATGGATACATCTCTCAACATCCAGATGAAACATAACTGTAAGCAGATTTTCTTTTTCTTTATGGATATTTTACAAATCACTCTCCTTTTAAACTGTATTCTTGTTTATTAATAACAACTTTTTTTACTGTCATATAGTATTTTATACCTGTTTACTTTATTCTCTTATTTTTTTATAACTATAATGATCATATAAAGATGTCCCTTTACCTCACTGGTTGTAGAAAAAGCTTCTTATATTCGTTAGCATAGCTAGCTAACCAGATGCTAATAACAACAAAGTTATTGACTGTATGATCAGTATGACAGATCGCCACTGGGCTTACAACTAAGACACAGCCACGCAAAAACTGCAGCATGTGTACGGCTCCTTATGGGTACTGCAATTTTTGGAAGTGCCGGAGCGGAGCTGCGTTCTGGTGCTCCCCGAACTACACCCGTCAGACGAGACATATTCTTTCACACACAGTGACGTCACAGCTACCCACAATGCAACGCGCGCCATATATTTTTTTATAAAGACGCCATTTTTCTGGAGGTGCTAATATCCTGGCAATGCTAGTATAAACAGCTAGCTGATGTAGCCAGGCAGAGCGCACTAGGTTTTTTTTCTGAATTAACGACCGAAGAAATCGCTGCATGTCTTCGGATTACATATCTGGACTTGAGGGGTGTGCTCTAGGTCGTTACCAGCGTAAACTAGAGCTGTGTGGGTTGTTGGATGTACAATGTATGGAATTACGACCCTCAAAAGTGGCCTTCGGTCGATTTTGGCTGCATCTACGTCTATCTTCTGGAAACACCAGGTGAATACCCCACTTGTCACAATAATATTATCATGCCAATGCATATATGTGGTATTTTAGAGTTGACTATATTGATTAAGGCAATCGACTATGATATTCTGTATGCACCTCGTGTGAAATGGTTGATACCGGAAGTACGGTGTCGCCCTCGGCCCAAAACCCGTATGTGTGTGTGAAAGAATACCAGGTGAACATGGTGATGACACGTTGGCTTGTGTTGTGTTCAAGGACCCTGACCTTGGCCAGGAAAAACAGGCACTCACTTGTCTAATTATTTTGCGGTCTAGATTTCTTTAATTTTTTTTTGCGTGTGTTTATAAATTACCTCGAGGGCCACACCAAATGGTCTCGCGGGCCGTATACGGCCCGGGGGCCGGAGGTTCCCCACCCCTGGTCTAAATAAAGGTTTGAAATGAAATGAAATGAATAAACTTGTTTATAAACAACTCCACAGGGTTTACAACTTCCTGACCTCTAGTCCAGTATTTTTCTTGACTTCAATTTCATGATCATAGGATCTATGAACACTTAGTGTAAATAATCCATTACAGCTACTATTTTTAAAACTATAACACTTTCAACAGCGCAATTAAATATAATTCAGTTTATGGATCTTTGGATTGGAATGGAAACCCTTTCATTACACAAAGCGTCAGTGATTCAAATCCATCCCAGAGTGCAGCTCTGGATTAAAGTTACAGTCACCTAAAAACAAAACATGCCATGGGGTTATTGAGGCTAGATTTATTTTGCATTGTGAACTATGTCATTCTCTAATGTACAGTTAAAAATATGTACAATCTTGCACAAAGCTTGTGATATGAGTGCAGCACGTTATTGATCCTGGTATTGACTATATCAACATATTAACCCTGGGCTGCTTCTGTGGTTCCCATAGGAACTGTGCAGGTTATATCAGTCTGTACATCTCCCCTGAAGGAGACAGCTCTGAACAATTAACTGAGGAAGACAAACCAAAGAGGAGGACAACAAGACCTGTGGATTTCCATTTTAGAGGGAAACCTGTCAAGGTGTATGAAATACTGACCCTAAAATCCCCCCAAAACAACCGTTCTACAGCTAGTGAAGGTTTTTTTATTTGTATTTTTAAAATGTTTAACAAGCAGTGGCCATATACTGCAAATGGCAAAACATGACATTAACATATCAATTCTGCTTCCTAGAACAGACCAAGATGTTCCTCATGTTTTTTGCATCAGTACCAATAAACTGTTCTTTCACAGAACAGCTGCAATGATAATGTTCATTAAGTTGTATAGATTAATGGCACCTTTTATCCTTCAGCTGTCTACTTTAATTGCTCAATGTGTGAACTGTGTGTTAAAATCAGTTAGGTGATATATAACATATGGCAGTGTTGTAGTGTGACCAGCGTGGGAAGCTATTTTAAGGTAACAGCAAACAGATCAAATATACAGAGCCAACAGATAACGTATACAATACGTCACCCACCATCATCAAATAAAGATTGAGCATTTTCTGAGAAATTCCCACACATCTGGTCATCTTTTACCACTTCCTTGATCAGTAAATGTGTTTTGCCTCCTGAATAATAGATAAGATTCAGGGTCACACCTCTGTAACGCACAGAGCAAATACTGCCTCATTTGTTTTTGTGCTAAAGCACACTCCCGTGTGGCTAAGAACACAGAAAATAATGAATGTTTCTGATTTGACAAGTTTTTATTTAGTCTATTCACATGCCAAACTTACAATGAGAAAAGGAAGCATTGGGTTTCCAGCATCAGTTTTCAATCTCACCCACAGCGTGCAGTCGCTGCTGATGCCATCAAAGCTTCAAAAACATCATTCTTCAAGGTGTTATCAGATACATGAAAGCGCTTTGAGCAAATTAAGACTTCATGGAAACACATGTAACACGTGGAGGAATAATGATTGCATGCAGCTTGAATACTTGTGCAAGTGAAGGAACAAACGTCAGAACTGTGTCAGTGCTGTAAGCATCAACTAAATATGTGCTTGACTATATTCTCCTCATAGTAAACAATAAGACTTTTTCACCACTGCCCGGCGAGCTTCAGGCCACAGAAACTGATGTGAATCATGAAGCTGCAACTTTTTAGAAACTTGTTAAGTCTGCTGTGGTGCACTCGCTTTATCACCAATGTATCACATGTATCAGTTACAACCACAATGATGAACATGCTCATTGGCAGGCAAGCTAACACAAAACAGAAATGTCTGCTGAGAATGATACATGAATCACTAACAGCTAAATAACGGGGTCTTGAATTATTCAGAGTAACATACTAGTGAATGCTTGTAACTCTAGATTGTTTGGTAGGGATGATTAACATATGAATATTGAGGAGTACATCTAAAATTAGGGTTGTGAAAGTCCTCCAATCTATTCAGAGAACAACAATTTATTTTAGAAGGAAAAGTGAAAGAATTGAGGTAACATGGCGAAGCTGCAAGTTTTCTAATATGAAACGACCCACAATTACAGCTAAATTACATTACATAAATTGCAAGTGTTGAAGTTGGGATTTTTGTTCCCTGAAGTCTGACTCATAGTGTTGAGTGTGCGTAACGTCATCATTTTCATTCCCCAGGGCCCTCTCTTTGACAACTCCTGGCAAATGCAGCTGCATGCACTGTAGGTTAGTCAAACCAAGTCTTACCACAACCCATTCGGATGCAGACGATGAGTAAATGGCAAAGAACGGAACGTGAAAACCTTTTTACTGATTCCTGTAAACTACCTGATCTTCAGATCACCGCTGTTAACAAGGTTTACAACATGTGAAAGTAGGGATGCCTTTGTAATGCAACGCAGATATTTATTTCCCAAACGTCAGTGACATCAGAACCTCTGGCTGATGTTTATGGGCACAGACGGGAAAGCGCAACCTCCTCTAAATGGAGCGTTGCCCTCTGGGAAAGGCAGTGTCGGACCAGTCCTCCAGGGTTGGCAGGGTTGGCAGGGTTGGCAGGGTTGGCGCACTCCTCTCCAACAGGATATGGAGCTTAGTGCGGAGCTTAGTGCATGCACACACAGCCAACATGCTTTATGTGAGGAGGGCTGCACTTTAAGGCACACCTTTTATTCGTGGAAACTCCAACAGTACATGCAAACACATACCTGAGCAACAGTCGCCATGGCAGCTGAGCTTTCTATGTACATAATGATTAGAGAGTGAGGGGAAGTAGTATACATCATAAATTCTAAAAAAAACTAATCTCCATGCTTGAAACTACCCGTCACTGTCAGCTTTGAGACATACGTCCAGCCAAGGACTCGTGTTAAAGGGGAACAATACCTTCACTCCTTCTTTCTGTTCCCGTTTCAGAATAAACCTTCTTTGACTCCTCTTGATTTCAATAAATGTCACAATAGGTTGTCCGGTCTTTACTTTTTTCCACTGTACATAACATTCATAGCATGCTGACATATCATGATTCAGAGGTGAAATCTGCAAAATAATTGCCGACTAGGATCCACAAAATGTGTTGTAAAAGTCACAGAAAGAGTGAGAGGGACTGTAAAAACAAAAAATGGATTTCATTCTGTGAGACACACAAACACAAGGGAATGCCAAAAATGAACTCACAGTGAGTGGCAGGGAGCAGACCACGAAGATGACGGTGATGACTGCCAGCAGCACCAGATGGTCCACCTCTTCTTCCCCCTGTACAAACCAGGCCAGGCTCATCCTCCTCCTCCTCCCCGCCGACCCGACCGAGCCACGCCGCATCATCTGGCTCCGGTGCATCTGGCACAGGCTGACAATCACTGAGCCGTTGCACACAAACACTGCAAAGATCAGCAGGGCCATGAGAGAAGAGTAGGACAGAGAGAAGGCAAGCACCAAGCTGGACTTTTCATCCCCTGTAGCGTCCATGTCGATGAAGCACCACGTCCCGGGACAGTACTGTCTGAATTTGCCATAGCCGCTGTATGGCAGGAGGCAAAAGGCCAAAGAAAAGAGGTAGATAAAGAAAAGAGTGAATTTGGCAAAGCTGTGGCGGATGTGTACAGAGTAAAAGTAAGGGTGGCTGATGGCCAGGCAGCGCTCCACGGCCATAGCGCACAGGATGAGCGTGGGAGCCAGGCCGAAGAAACTCATGGCAAAGCCAAAGTGGTTGCAAAGGCCCGCACCCCCCAGAGTGATCAGGGACTTGTTGCTGGCGTAGCAGATGAACACAGGTGGGCTGAGGAGGCAGGTGCCCAGCAGGTCAGTGAGGGCCAAGCCCGTCACCAGGATGCAGAAGACAGAGGACCTGGAGCGATGCTCTTTCTGGTGCACCCCGAGGATGAAGAGAGCCAGGAGGTTCCCCACCACGGCAGCCAGAAACATGATGATGCTGGTAACTGGCTTGCCATCCCCATTCACAATGGGAGTGTCATTGCAGGTGGTATTGTTACATGATTCGTTTAAAACCATGCTTATGTTCATGTTCATGTTTAGCTCTCTGCAATGAAATATCCCTGCTCAGTGTGAAAGTGATAAGGAACTCCCACACAACAAAAGAAGATCATGACGTCTTGATACCATCATTTGACATCACAGAAGGCAATGTTTTTTCGTAAGAATCATACTGCTGCGTTGACTTAAAACGTGGTCTCTTTTGCTTGCAGACACTTTTGAAATATTTCTGTGGAAATAAAGAAAAAGCAGCTTAGGAGCTATAGGTAAAATAAAACAGTGGCATGCTGTTAAAGTTTTCTTTCTGAGCAAACTATGTTTCTTGTATAATTCTAAACACTGTTCTATCAGAGTTTTAGTTACTAAAATCGCTCACCTTTCACTGGCTCTGTCGGAAATATGTACCACTTGAGCGGGTAAAAACGCTGTCACCGCTACTTCTTCTTTGTGTTCCTCTTCTTCCGCGGACTCAGACAAAAATGTTTTAAACTCCCTCCGCCAGTAACTTCTCGACAGATACACGCTGAACCTTATGGGACACGGAGAAGGAGTGAACAAGCTTCAGCTGAATTTCTCCGTGTGTGTCTCTTTGTACCTCCCTTTGTTTTCGGATCGATACATAGTCCCACCCACTGCACCGAAAGACGCTGACAGATACTCTTTAGAGGGACTTTCTAGCTCTAAAAAAGGGGAAATGTTAAAGAATGCACTTGTGTATGCTGTCTATCAAGCAATATAAACGATGTGTTGACTTGTGTTCTTCCTTGTTCTTAGATATTGAAGTTTGCGTCCCAAACATATAAGCAGATGCATGAGCACACTCTTATCACCCCCTTATCAGATGTTTTACTCATCTTTAGTTTAGACAAAACCTAAAGATGTAACTTTAAGAGTGGACTAGTTTTTTTTTATTGATGTATTGAGTGAAATAACAAAAATGCAGAGACACAATTAGCTTTTTTCAAACGCCTTAGCTGTATTGGCTTAATTGTTCCCCATGTGAGTTTAAAAATAACTAATCTAATATAGTCTTTTGTGTAAGTATTTGGTTTGGCAGAGTCTCTTCTTGGATTAAAAAGAAAGTGTTTTTATTAGCAGTAATCTCTGCTAGTTTACATTTCATGCAGTCTTTGGAACTCAAACAAGAAAGGAAGAACCAGTGCTTTAGTTAAATATAAATCAAATCAAATCAAGTTCTATTTATATAGCACATTTTAAAAACGATTTTTGGGTACATGCAATAAAAAACACTTTACTGCGATAGCAAACAGAAGACAATAAATTACAACAGCAAATATAAAAATCAAACAATGCTCCTGACAAATATAAATGCCAAGAAAGAAAATTCTTGATTTTGCTTTTTTATTTAATATCCTGGATACAGTTTTTTGTTGTGCAGCCTTGCATGCTTTGATTTGGCCCTCGCCTGTTGTGAATACTGAATATGCCGTCAAATATTTGAACAACTCGAAGAGTGTTTGACAAAAGTCCAGGAAACAGAGAAATGCTGTTAAGCCTCATTTACCATTACATCTATCATTCAACATTTTACCCCAAGTAGAGGTACTATCAACAACAAAGTGTACATCCTACACAGGTTTCTCTACTCAATGACATATTATAAATTGTATTGGATTTTAATTATTGCTTAGTCCCAGGAGATTGTGACCTCTTCGTTTGCCTAAACACCAAAAATAGATGTTACTGATTGACCCATTACAATGATACAATAGCAGCCCAAAGGCGCTTTATTGAATTATTAATGTCGATAATATTTGATTTAGATTGTGTTCATCATGTAAACCCTACCTGAAGGCCCTGATGCAGTCCACTATGGTACAAAGGTGATTTCACTTATGATCCAAATTAGATCTTCTCAGGACTGTGCCTGATTTCCCTGATGACACAGTGATTTCCAGCATAAATCTTACATCTTCAACCTGAGCAGGGGTCTAAACAGGTGGAACAGGGGTCTTAAATGTGTTTAGGCCCAGAACCCATTATTTGAAAGAGAAACGTAGCAAGGACCTACATATAAAGTTAAATATTATACTGCGCTTACAACATTTGGAGGGTGACCTAAATGGCCTTGATAGTCTCCACATGAATACAATACAGAATAATTAAAATTAATAATATACTGTAGCCATAGCTAACTCACAGTTATGAACAGCTACCGCACAGTGATTTATCAAAGGTTATAACTTCATGAGTAATAGTTATCTGTGTGAATACAATGTTTTTCTTACCCTTTGAGATAGTAAACTGAATTATCTGTAGGTTGATCTATTTTAATGAATTCAACAAAACATGAAGGTATGTATCCAATTGCTGTAATGATATGTTGGTTGATGGATATAATGTCACGATCTGTCTTTATGGTGTTTTGTCTTGTCTTGTTTCATGTTTTATTTTGAAAGGTCTTCACCTCCTGTCTTGCCTGTTTCTGCCTGCGTTGTGTCTTGATTGGATTTGTCTGTGGTTCCCTGTCGTTAGTTTCCCTGGTGTGTCTGATTACCCGATTGTGTTCACCTGTGGCCCCTGTATTTTCTCCTCCCTCCTCACCTGTGTCTTGTTTGTGTGATTAGTCTTGTGTGTATTTAAGTTCTGGTTTTGCTGTCTGTCTTTGTTGGTTCGTCTTTTGTCATGACTAGTTCGTCGGTGAGTGTTCTGTTCTGTCTGTTCTGTCTGTGTTATCACCTAGCCTTGAAATAAAGGAACTTTCCCTTTATTCTGCATTTGGGTCCTACCTGCTTCACACACCGTGACATATTACATTACATTGCATTTAGCTGACGCTTTTATCCAAAGCGACTTACAATAAGTACATTCGACCAGGAAGACACAACCTTGAAGAATAATAACATAATAACATATAAAATGAACACATCACCATTTAAAGACATAGGATATGATAATGGTAGTGCTGAGGTGCCATTGCTGCTCTTCATAATGGTTTCTTTTCATGACAACTAAAATAAGATGTAGCAGCAATAACATCACCACAACCAACAAAATAGGCATGAATACATATTGCTGCATAGTAATTACATTTTATTGCTTAGTTTCACTCTCATTTGCTTCCTGGCGGTTTCTGTAATTGACAGAACAAATAGATAACAGCGCCAATTTTCAATTCTGGACGGAGTAATGGAGATCCCATTTCACTGTTTTCTACGCTGAAAATGAAGCAGTTACACAGCTGCTAGTGCGTGGTAGCATGCTGGCACAGATCACTGGGATATTGTTAGACAAAGACATGCAGATGTTTGTTTTTAATCTTCTTCTTAGTTTCACTCCATCCCTCACTCTAATTTACTTTTAACTACACAAGACACCTGAAGGCATGGATGGCATCCGAGGTGTTTACAGTTGCCCAGCCGATAAAACAAACCAGGCTGCCACCTTTAAATAAACAGCAGACATGAACGTGCAAAACAAACACAGACATACATGCATACTTTTCCAAAACCAGCAGACGGGTTTGTAAACAAAATCCAAACGAGACACCCAGGTCATGATACATAAGTTTATAATAAGTTCAGCACAGCATCAATTTACAATAAAAAGCAGTTGTCTGGAGCTGTCTATGAGTCTGTCACTATGAGATGGATATGTCTGGTCATTATTAGGCATCGTTTGTTCCTCCAAGTGAATTCCAGAAAACCTTGCTCCTTTCAACTTACTATTAAAGGAATGAGGTGTTTCATGTCAACCTCTGGCCTGTCTGGTGTCAGTTCAAGCCTGACCATCTGCTTGTTGGTTGGAATATGACCCAAGCATTTGGAAATCCTCAGGAAGAGGACCAGTACCAGTAAGCAATTGAATTTATCGTACCTCATAATTCACTGAAATACTGTGGGGTAATCACATGAGAAATGTTCTCTTTTTAAAAAACAATATATTTGCTGTTGTGGAAATAATTATCATAAGACGCCAATTAGTAACATACAGGACAAACCTCGATGTCTGTTTACCTTCTTTAAGGACACAGGCGGCTTAGCCAATAATGTTATTGTTCCCATTCTGTGACCGGTCAATACTGGGATACAGATGGTCTGTGTTGTGGGTACACTGGGACACTTCCTTCTCTGTATTTGTGGACTCCAAGGTAAAATCTTCGAGGTCATAAGTGTCCGAGGCAAGTAGCTCTGTGTTCCCACACTGTTTAGGCTATCTCCTCAAATATGTTGTTTACTCTCTGCGAAACCAGTTAGATGGGCTGGCAAGAGAGAGGCTCTCCAGAATTGACGTGGCAACTCTACCGTGAAGTCAGAACCTCTGACTCTTGGACTTGTGATGTGAATCCTCCGGCCGTTAACTCCAAATAAACCATCATGTGTTTGACATCAAAGCTACTGCTCTTCCCGTGTCTCCTTCCTGAGTCGGTGACTCCCACTGCATAGCTACACAGAAGTTTCCATTACATTTGCAAAACACATGGAGCCCAGGGAGTTTCGGTCTTGGTGGTTTTTCTTGGACTGTTTCAACCCTAATTGAAAGCAGAATTGAAAGTGGTAACACAGACCCAAGGAATTCAAATCCGTTGAGGATTGATATGTCTGATCTAATAATGAAAAAGATCACATTTGACGTTGTGCATCTGTCATATTTCAAACATGCAGCCAACAATGCATGTATTAATTTGTTACAGATCAACAACATGATCAAACTCAGAATAGCAGTGTGTGTGTGTGTGTGTGTGTGTGTGTGTGTGTGTGTGTGTGTTTTAGAGAAAGTAAGAGAGAACAAATAAGGAGTTTTTGTTGTTACATATTTCTTTCTTCTGTCAGATTGCCTTCCTTGTCAAGAAATCTCCTATGTAACAATTACAATGGGTATTCATCAGATGATAGGTATCAAGTCTGCAAGTCATGGAAATGTTAATCACCAATTTATTTAATCAGCCGGCACATATTTTCAGCTGTGCATGTCATGATGTCTGCCTTCCAAGACGTCAGTTCTTCTCTGTGTTTGTTTTTACTTTAGGAAAACCAGCGGTGGAAAAAAGGTTTTAACATCAATAATGGTAAATACTGCTAATGAGCCGGTGCAACGCTGAGTGTAAAGACTTAAGCTTGAGATGGTGACGGAGATGCTGCTGATTTCAACTGTGAGACCACACACAGAGCATAATTCTGATGGTAACTGTAAATAATTGTATAACTCAAGAAGTCACAGTATAACTATGTACTTCATATATTTCACACTAAATGTTTCACACCTGGTTGACCTCTCCAGCCAGCACACCTGCTTTTGATAAATGACTAGTTAAGAACTTAATCCCAATATGAAAGCTTATTAGATTTGCATAGTACTTTTCGATATACATTAAAAGACGTTTGTTGTGCAGTAAAACATTGACTTGTATTTGTGTATTGGCTCCCCTGCTGTTTGTACTTTCAAAATAAACCACTAATTTGTAATGTAATCAGGTAAACATTGGAGACCTTGCTACACTGTGATGTCTGTCCCATCCTGCTCATGTCTACAGTACACATTTGACTTTGATCACATCCCCAAATATGACATGACATTTTCATATAAAAAATGATGTATTTATTTACCATAAATT